GCCTGCTTCTCCCTCTCCCACTCCCCCTGCTTGTGTTCCCTCTCTCGCTGTCTCTCTGTCAAATAAATAAATAAAATCTTTAAAAAAAAAAATTAAAATCTTTAAAAAGGAAAGGAGAGAACTCCAACTCGAGAGAGGAGCGTAAGCTTCCCAGGGCCACAGGCACTCCCAGGATATCTCATGCACTAGTATAAACCCGGCACTCTGGGCCACTCTGGGCACACAGCAGGCAGAACCAGCCTTGAGGGGGCTTCCAGGCTGGCGAGGCCACTGTGGGGGGCGGTCGCACTCACCCCACCTTTCCTGCTCTGCCCAGAGCCCCAGGTCTGCCAGGACCGCAGACCTCACCCGGGAAGCCAGATGGTGGGAGGTCACTGTGCTTCCATCTACCCAGCGCCCACACCCCCACCTCCTCCCCCAGTGCGGGGCTCTGCCAGGCTGCAAATCAAGGCCGCCCCAGTCCTACTCCAAGGGGTGCCACCACCCAGCCAATCAGAGCCTTCCTTGGGATTTTCCACATACACAGAGGTGTGTCTCTGCCTTTTGAGGGCAGGCCCCTGGGACAGGATTGATCTAGAGATGGGCACCTGACCCCTACCAGCCAATGCAAGCCTGCCTGGGGATTTTCCAGGTGGAGACAGAGAAGCAGGCTTCTCCTGGGGAGACACATGCCCTGGGACCTATAAGCTGATGTAGGAAGATAACACTTTTGCTAGGGCAGCAGGTAGAACAGGGCAGCCAGATAAAATACAGGGTTTCTAATGAAACTGGAATTTCTGATAAACAGCAAACAATTTTTAGGGGCGCCTGGCTGGCTCAGTGAGTTAAGCGGCCGACTTGATTTCGGCTCAGGTCATGATCTCGGGGTCCTGGGATCGAGCCCTGTGTCAGGCTCCATGCTCAGCAGGGCGTCTGCTGGAGATTCTCTCTCTCCCTCTCCCTCTGCCCTTCGCACTCTCTCTCTCAATAGATAAATAAGATCTTAAAAAAAAAAATACAGCAAACAATTTTTAGTGCATGTATTGCATGAGACACACACACTAAAATATCATTTGTGGATTGATTGATTGATTGATTTTAAAGATTTATTTATTTATTTGAGAGAGAGAGAGCATGAGAGGGGGAGAGTCAGAGGGAGAAGCAGACTCCCCGCTGAGCAG